CAATTGTTACAAAGTGGAGACCTATCTGAAATGCTATGAAACTCCTATATTTCCTTTAACTGGACCTGAATTGTGGCCTGCCAGTACAATAGAGTCTCCATTACCACCCAATTACACAGAGAAAGTAGGTACGCCTCAAAGAATTAGGAGGAGAGAAGCAGATGAGCCACCTGTTGCAAAAAATCCTCATAGGCTGGTTGGAGTTAAAAGATCAAACAAGTGCAGAACATGTGGAGGCACAAACCACAACTCTAAAACATGCAAAAAGAGGAAGTTTTCACATGTTCAAGAAGGGAGCAAGGGTGCTGGTATGAGTACTGAGCAAGGAAACCAAAGGAATGAAGTTGAAGCTTCAACTCAAGCTTCAGTTTCAACTCCACAAGTACCACAACCACCAATTCACACTGCAAAAGATAAAGAAAAATTACAGGTTCATAATTGTATTTTTTTTTTTTTTTCATTATCTCAATGTATATAGTATATAAAATTTCAGTTATGCAAGCTATTTGTTCAAAATTGCAGTTTAGAAGACCTCAGAAGAAAATGACAGTACAGGCAGAAGGAACATAATTGGATCCTTTAAGGTATTTAAATTAATATTTTCATAATTATGTTTTTTTAATAAATATTTATATTAATTTATATTTTTTTATTAATTACAGTCAAGTCAATCTTCTCCAACAATCCAGGCTCCAATGATTGTAAAAGGAGGTGTTAATTTCATAACACTATCCAATTAAGCATCATCAGTGACCAATCAACTTAAGGGAAACTCAGGCTCTGAAATTGGTGCAAGTTCTTCTAAGTCAGCCTCTGCATCCATCACAAAATCCAAGGCATCTTCCAAGTCAGTAGTTGCTTCCAAGGCATCTTCCAAGTTAGTAGTTGCTTCCAAGTCAGCCTCCAAGATGAAGAAGTGATCAAGTTTGAACAAGATTGTACTTTTGTTATTTTGTATGTTTGTTAGCTAGTTTGATGTTTGAACGTTGAATATTTGGCTGTTTAATATTTGATGGTTTGTTAGGATTTGAACACAGTTTGATGGTTTGTATGACATGTTTTGATTTGTTTGGATTTGAACACAGTTGGTTTGTATGAGATGTTTGATTTGTTTGGATTTGAACACAGTTGGTTTATATGAGATGTTTGATAACTCTTTTAAGTTATTGAATGTTTGATATTTGAATTTCTATTTGAATTTCAAGTTAATGAATAAGCTTAATTATGTATGTATAAGTTCTATAATTGATCAATACATACAAGGTACTTGATGGAAGCCAACCAACATAATAGGCAGCAAATCAAATGACCAATACAAGAATCACTACCAAATTCACAAAACTCAAGAATTATTACCAGATTACCAAATTCACCATTACAAGAACTTCTAACAACTGAAAATTGATCATTCAAGAACTACTACCAAATTCACCAAAATTCAAGAACTACAACCAAATTACCAAATCCACCATTACAAGAACTCCTAACAACTGAAAATTAACCATAAACAAAACATTACAAACAACATCCACATTCAAACAAAACATTACATAGACCCCCTTTCTATGCCAGTTTTCATGACATATATGGCAATGAATAGAAGTATGACCATAAAGACTCCAACTTGCAACTTCATCCTCTTATTGTACATTGCAATCAAACCCTCCAGATTCTTGGATCTTTTCTGAATAATCCTTCTTTCCTTTGCAAGTTCACCTTCTAGCTTGTTTAATTTTTCTTCTTTCTCTTTGTAACAAGCCACTTCACCTTCAACTTGGTTCAATATTTCTTCTTTCTCTTTGAAGCAAGCTAATTCACCCTCTAGTTTGTTCACTCTCCTAAGCAGTCTGGAGATAATCATCTTGGATCTACCACATATTTCAGGATCCAACCACTTGAATACACCACAGTAGGTTGATTTCTGTAACGAATCCCAAAACTTGAATCAAAAGAACGCATTTAACCCCATAATTTGTTCAAGCTTGAAATAACAAATCCAATATACTGTAATGAACAAATAAAAGGAAAGCATTTTACCCCATAATTTGGGCAAGCTTGGTATCTTCTCCCAGGATTGTCTGGCGTCCATGACGTAATCACTGCAAACAAAATCCACATTTACAATTGATTGTGTAAAATGTTGAATGAGCATCAGAGCTCGTTGAGGATGAGCTCCGACAGCCATAATTAGATCCTTTACTCATATTTTATGCTACATCGAAAACATTGAGGTGAAATCAACACTACAAGTACACTAATTACCAAAATCGAAAATTTTTCAAAGATAACAACTTTGAGGAAACTTACCAAATCGAAAATTGTTTTGCAATTATGACGCTTTAACTATTCGGACATTCAAAAACTTGGGAAGACGATTCTGCTATTTTCGAATTTCAACTCAATTGAAGGATTCGGAATGGGGTTTTAGGGCTTGGATTTACGGGTTAATTGGGGATATGGAGAATTAGGGATTTTACAATAGAAATAGGGGAGGAGAATGACGTGTCGCTCCATATCACGTTTTGTCGGCCAAGTAGACATTGGGTGTTGAACAGCTCGACATTTAACGGCCACATAAACGTCACGTGAGCCACGCGTGTAATTTCCCTCGAAGTTAGCTGCCGACATTAACGGCAGAACATAAAGTGATCAAAAGTGGCAAGTTTGAGGACATATATAGCGGATTGAAATGTTTGGGGACATAAATCGTTTTAGTGGTAAAGTTTAGGGACATAAACTGTAATTTTCGCTACAAGATACTATAAATACAAGATTTATAGGTCTTGTACAAGAGTGAAAAAAAAAAAAACCCTAGCCGCTCATACCCTAGTCCGCTGCCAACTCCATCGCCGTCATCCCGTCGTCGGAAATCGGCGCCCACGCGCCGCTTCTCTTCGGTACTTCTTTTCTTTGTTTTATTCTTCCGTTTAATCTGCCTTTTGTGTGTCTAGTGCCATGTACTAGTAGAACTCGGCATACGAGGTGAAATCCGAGAGGAGGAACCGAGAAGCCCTCGCCGAACCGCCATCGCACGCGCCCTCACCCGCCGCCCGAAGGCAGCGCGAGATTCACACGCGCCGCCGCTGCCCGCGCGTCAGTCGTCGCCGTTGCCTGCGCGTCAGTCGCCGCCGCTCCTCCCGACTGCACGGATTGGTTTCCGTGGCAGTTTGCATCAATCCGAGAGTTCGCCCACGCTTCAAGAGGTAATTTTCGGATCCGATTTAAATAAGGTTTTAATTTAATATGATTAAATTAATTGTTGATATTTGCAGTATGTTTTTCATCAATGTCGTTCTGCAATTGTTCATGTACGATTTGTGATTTACTGCGAGCATGCTACGTGATTTAATTATCGAATTAATTATATGCATATTGTTTTTTAATTTCACTAGAAGCATTAAGGTACGCAATTAAGTGCTATTATCGAGTACGTGTTAATATGATTAAATTTGTTTTTCATATAAAAATTTTGTTTTCCGCTGCGTACACGTGCCTGATTCCCATCATTGGTATCAGAGCAAGGTTGCGCAATTATACCCTACATACATCATGGAGTAAGTTATGTGATAGAGGGTAACTTAAGAATCTCTAATCGAGTACTGGGGAGTTATAAACTCCGAGTGGGTTAAGATAGGAATAACCACATTCTATATTATATACAACACATATTATATTTTTTTATTTAATTATAAAATTGGGATTTTTCAAGAGGAAGAAAAAGTTCGAAAATAAGATAGCACTTAGGGATGGCAGTGGAGTGGGTACCCTCGAAAAAAGTCAAATACTAGAACCATTGTCATTTAATTTATTTCAGACAGAGCTATATCAAACCCATTTAAAAATTTAATCGGAATACAAAAGAGCCATACCAAATCCATTTAAAAATTTAATCTAAATACAATAACCATTACCACCAATATCCGGATGCCTCGCGGGTATCCATTTACCATTTAAATGAGGTTATAAGAAATAACTTTTAAGCGAATTATACAAAATAAAATAAGACGCTTCATCAAAATTGAAGTTCCACAACAACAAAAAAGATGATTAACGAAATTTGTTATGTACTTGAGCAATTATATATATACATCAAATGGTCTGGTACCCATTACTGACGGGGTAAAAGCAGAACCATACCAAGACCATGACGGTTTGTTTTTCTTTTACCAACACCATTACTAAATCCTAATAAGTTCGGTAACAAGTATTGAACGGAACGGATACTTATGGGTAGCTAGCGGATCGAATTTTTTTGCCATCCTCAATAGCACTAATTAATGAGAAATTGAACTATCTTTGATACCATGTCTGAATAGCACTAATTAATGAGAAATTGAACTAACTTTGATACCATGTCTGAATAGAAAAAGTAGAAAAGGCGGTATGAATTAGCTTAGAAGCCAGACAAACAATTTTATTCTAGACCAATCAATAGTTGAACATAATAGATAGACATACAATAATGAATTAACCCAATCTCTCATATAGAGTTGGGAAAAGATCCATATGCCATAACTAGGAAATCATTCTTTACTAAATCATAAATAAGAAATCTACTAACTTAGATAGAAAAGAATTACTTTCTAAAACAGATTCTTATATATTCTAACAATGAGTAATGAAACCAAATTAACCAAGAACATATGATTTCACAAGTGAGGAATTAATCAACTTCGTATGCAAAATCCAATGAGATTTCATAATTAATGTCTCTGCAAAACAAAAGTGAGTACAGAAAGAAAGAAAAAAAGATGATAATAGGAGAACGGAAAAGTATTTAAAACTTTTCTACGTAAAAATATCTCCTATGTGTGATATTAGCAGTATACACAATCATTTCATTCAATGCAAAAGTATCTTTTCCAAAAGTCCCCAAAAATCTACATTGTTTCAGTGTATCAAATCTTGATCCAAATAAGCTGAGAATGAGCAAATGTAGATTGTGCCAAGGGCCAAGAGCAAGCAGTGGCAGCAAATCATTTACAAAAAAAAAAGCACGCACAAAAGTTTAAGGAGTGGAACACTTTAGCTCGGCGCTCAACATATGGTGAAGAAGCATATCAACCCTCTGGCTCCTCGACTTAGTACTGCACAACAATAATCAAAATTGAGGAAGATGTATATTCAAATCGGCACATGAATATATTTCAAAAATAATAACGAATTTATTTCAAGAATCATATTTGCCTGTACACATACCCGATGTTACGCCTTCGCCCAGTTCCTTTTTCTTCCTGAATTGTACACTAACTAAAGTTAAATTCATCTTTACAAGTTAACAATGATATACAGATATCGTCTTAAGATTTATGTAGCGCATAGAAAACAAATCAAGAATGTGAAAACATACAAAGAACGAGTCTCACCTTCAATCTGTCCATCTAAGACTTAAGGTTATATATCATGTATGGAGTTTTATTCAATTATCACTTGTATTACTTATAGCTAAACTGCTGTTTTTGTAAACAAGAATCACACTCCCCCAGATGAGTAGACCATTTCGTCGTGTAATATGAAGATACCTCAATGATGAATAAACAATTTTTAATTCGAAAATCACCAATTTAAATAATACAAATGCTGGGTTTGTACGCTTCCCCTCCTCGGAGGCAGTTTCTATAATTTTCAGATGTACAAGCAAAGAGCAAAAATCAAAGAGAGGTCGAATGAGTTCCGAGAAAAGAGTGTACTGCTAAAAGAGTGTGAGTTGATCTGTGAAATTCCATCTTCTAGAAATAGTGATACACGGACATGGCAAATTTTGTTATCTGTCTTATTTTTCGAGTTCTTTCTATTTCAAAACTACCCAATAATAGTCTCTTTTCTCATTCCTTCTTAAATGTTTACCAACAGGATACTTTGTCGTGTTTCCCCAATAACTACTTAATAATCGATAATGGTGATTATAGGTTCATAACATAACACAAGCCAAGTTTGTTGAAGAAGATTAGATTAGCGTCCCAAAAGAGAAAGCAATATAAGCATTTGAAATACTGGTATTAACCATTAATAGAAAGATCATACAAATTTACAAAAACTTGCGTAAAAGTTTACCTCCCCACTGTCGGTTTCGAGATCCATTTCAGCAAAGAAAGCCTCCAACACAAACGCCACCACCTAAAATAACAGTAGGAAAACACCAAGATTATAATTACCATGTAATACATAAGATAAAGCGGGAAGTTCGATGGTACAAAGCCTACAAAAAACAATAAAACTAGCTACAATTTAATGTTTTACAGATGACATGAGAATGGAAGTTTCTCGTAGTTCACAATGATAACATGTTTCAGTTTTATGTTGCGTAAATCCAGCTCTTTATTTATGAGGACTAAATTATCTAGTCTCCCTCATTCCCTCTTAACTTTACGATTCTTATTTCGATCCAAATCTCAGTACAAATGCAGTTTCGGGAAGCATCCTCAAACACTAAAATTCCAGCCCCACCAAAAAGAGCATGAAAATAACATAGTTAATCAGGACACAAGCTTCTTTACCTTTGCGTAAATTTCCACTGAAATTTGCCTTAATTGAGGCACAAAAAAGGGACGAAAAATAGTTGAGTAAGATGAATTACATAATTCTATCTTCGTAAATGAGTACCCTACTCCCACTAATAACAATTTCTTTGTCCTAGACAACTAGTCTTATCTTACAAGTTATAGGTCCTCAATGAGAATATATGTACAACACCGTAAATATTGAAAAATAAAATAATGTCACTCCAACAAAAATTCCCGGAAGTGCACACTTTATCCCAACATTACTACTATGAAGGGAATGGTAATAAAATATATGCAGATAGCTAAATGATTATGTTAGATTCTGGAATGTATAATAATATGCCTTCTGAGAAACCATGAATTAAACTCCAACCGCTCCTTTATTGCTTAATGTGGAAAACATGTATTCCAAGGGTACAAGCGTATCTTTAGAAATGTTAAGATGAAAAGGTACAGACAGGCTTATTATGGTAACAGAAGTTAAAAAAACAAATATGGACAAAAAAAAAATCTGAAATGAAAACAAATTGCCCATTAAAATGGCCTACAACACACACCCAAAGAGATTTGAATCTCCGATTTCTCTCCACACGAAAGACGCCAATACCATTAGGCTAAAGGCTTAACGTTAAAAAATATGGACAGTTTACGAGTATAGCATGCATGTTTCATACGTGATATTGCTCCTAATTTACATGTGATTTAGTTCCTTTACTCAAAGAATTTACCATAATTTTATTCACAAATATTGAATTGCAATGAAAAAATCGGTAAATATGAGCAATAATCAAAAAGTATCATATCAGGTGCCAATGTTAGCTTATTCATTGTTAAATTTTCAATTATACTTCCATATGCATGCAATGAAATGAACACTAGTCATCAACAAAGTTATATCAACTCCTCATTAATATACAAAGGAACTTAAATATCTGACATAAACTTGAGCATATTTGTAAAATATAAGCTCAGACAGAAATCATAAAGCCCTGTTAGAAACATACCAAATTCAAGAGGAGTACGATTGTGATTAGATAGAAGCTTATGAAGTAGGCATAACTCCAAGCAGTTCCTGTCAACTCCTTGTAGCTCTGGAATTTTTCAAACATTAATTAGTACACAAACTTTTTAGGAGAATTAAGGCCAAAATATAAAATATTGCTAAACTGCAGAGTATTTATTGTAGTGCAATTCCAATTTGATTCGGAACTAAATGTGAATTGCCAACATACAGTTCTCAAAGATCCATGTCCCGGAAGAAACGGTCAGGAAATTATTCTACAGTATATTCCAGAAGATGAATCCTACAAGTATCTGACCATTTATTCATAAAACTAGATTCGTAATTAAACTAGATTCATCTAAGCCAAACATAAAGTGAATATGAAGTGCCTTATTGTTTGACTACAAATACTCCAAGGACTCGGTATTGAACAATCTAGTTCAATGACATAAGAGTTTGACAAACCTTTACTGCTACTGACAGACATTAAAGGGCCATACTAACTCAACGGCAGTGATGAAAGTTGATTCTAATCAACTAAAAACATAGGACACTAAACGAGTTTCTCATTATTTTATTAAATAAATTCTGTAACAATGAGGACTGCTGCATATCATTTGAATCGACATACCTGCATCCATGCTTGCCAATTTCCCATCACTAGCAAATTGAAAAGTGTAACCATCCCGTTGGGGTAGTCATTGAAGTTGAAGAGCAAGTAGCTTAGATTGTCAAGGAAATTGGTAAGAAGCTGATTAATGGAAAACCATAACTTTAAATGTCAAATGAAAAATCAAGCAAGACAACTATAACTTTGATGGTGACGATCTTACACTACCTTAATTCCGAAAAGTGTCATGACATCAATACAACTTGAATTAGATAATTGCATTGATATATTAAAGAATGTTCACTTATGACAAAGGATACTCACTATCTTCAAGATCAGTTCCAGTTAGATTTGGATTCCCATCATAAACTAAACCACCAAAGATCTACAATATTAAGAAGAAACAGATTGGTTTATAATCTGCATGAAATAGATATAAGTAAAAAAAACGAAGAAATAATGTTAAGAATCTACAAATGAATAAAAAAATGAAAGGCATAGGTTGTGCGATTAACATAAATGACACCGTTACCTTATTTTTGCCATCAAGCTTTAGAAACATAAAAAAGAGGGAGCTAAAACAGGTAAATACAAATTTCAAAAGAAACCAAATACCTGTACACCGAGAGAGCAATAAATGCACATGATGCAAAATATGGTTCCGAGATACGGCATTAGACTTGGTAACAGGGTCAAAAATGTTGCAACAAAAGCACGATATTGTTTAACGTGCATCAAGAGCCTAATCAATCTCAACATTCTTGCTATTAGAAGATACCGAATCCTGTTGACGAAAAAAGCATTTGTTTTAGTTATGGAGAACTTAATTCACGCATATGAACAAGAGAAAATGGAGCATCCTTCAAATAAAATGTTACGTCTTTTTCTTAATTTTGACAAAAAGATAATTATTATATGTTTTGGCTGTATATAAGTTACACTCAAGTGTTCGGCTCAAAACTTCGAAGAGAAATGGTAATCGATATCAGAAGCCTACTAAAACATTCACAAATATCCAACCAGTGGTCTTTTTGTAATGAGGGAATCAAAATGTTGCTGAAAACCATGAGCTTATAGTGTAAGAGGAAAAACTTCTCCCATTTACGAGCTAGTTAATTTAAGTGTAACGGTAGGTGGTGCCTGAATATTTTTCAGCTTTGTAGAGATCCATAAGAGAATTATCATGCCCATATTTAGGGATAGACAATCTGAAGCAGCTAATAACTTTGACGTTTAGTACAGGCTGACTATTGAATAGATATAAGCAGTTATGTACTGATAGAATAATGATTATAAGATGAAATTTTGTGTCAAGATTATGAATGAGGAAATTCTAAAAGGAGGAGTCAGTATGAATTTTATAATAGACAATACGATGTGAACCTTTTCTTGATTTGCCCAATCACCAATCATGATTAGTTTGAAGCACTTTTCTTTTTCAAATTTTGTCAAAAGAAGAAAATTGTGGAACCAAATACTCATGGCATAATACAATTGCATTGGAAACCATAAATGAAGTAACCTCAGTCCTCACCATTCGCCATTGGAGAGGAAAGTTTGTCCACTGGGAGACAGGAAAGTAGCTGTTTCTCCAATAACTGCAACAAAAAAAAAAAAAAAAAAACAGAGAGAAGAAAATGGAGGTGTTAGCCTCCATCTACAGTTTCAATACGACAACATTTTTTTTAGCATAAACTATCTGGCAGAATTCTTCTGGCAAAGAACACAAGTGAATACCAGAAAGATCCAAAGGGCGATTTGGAGTTGCTGACCTACTTCTTCGTATTAATAAAACCACGACCTTCTTAACATTTAGCGCCTAAATTTTAGCAATTCCACGCTTCTTATAGAAGGAAAGCAGCCTTCAGCTCTAGATATTTGAAATCCTAATGTGATAGAAAGGTACTTGGTTGTTTTATTTCTGTTTTATCAACATATAATGATCAAGAAGATAAAACCTTGTTATTGCCCATCATTTATTTTGTGTCTTTCCCCGTCCTTGTTCGGTACGCATCATGTTCTTTTATGCTATGATCACATTTTTCACATTTGACGAAAATTACACGAAGAAACTCCCAAATGTAATTAGCTTCTTTAATGATAAGCATAATGCAGTTTCAATCATGTCAACATCGAACAAAGGTTAGATATCTATGGAAATCTAGGAATTGAAGATTTAATTATCTGTTGCATGACCAAATCCTTAGTACTCTAGCATAAATTGGCAGCTCTAAGATTCACAATTTGAATGCTGATAATTCTGCCAACTATTCATGATAAGTATGACCGAATTGAGAATATGAGATTAGCTGACACTCTGATTATTGGTACCAGATTAAAATTTGAAAAAATACATTGGACTCAAGTTAGTAACTCTACTTACCAATTACCCAGGTGATTACAAAGTCAAAGCGGTTTTGGCCGTCCCTCCAGTAATTCACAAATCCATAAGCATACACTTTTAATGCCATTTCCAGGACATAGATCCATCCTGTGGAAAGAATTTCATTATAGATTTCAAATATCACAAGAATTACAAAACATTGAGATATTGAGCACCCTGAGAATTTGACTACAGAGATCACCTTTTTCAGTATAAATTCATGGAGAAACAATGCTGATGAAATCTAATGTACATACGGAATGATGAAAACAAAGTTATATTTTTTACTCAATATTAGTTGAGTAATTTCTAGTCGTTACAGAATAAGTTTTACTTATTTATAAAGCTATAAGCTTTATGAAAATATGAAAAGTATTAAATATGGATGACACTGGGAAGTAGTAGGAGATTGATGGAGAGCTTACCAAAAACAAACTCAACTTTTTGCCAAGCCTCTTGACCAGAGTTCTCTTGTATATCAAGCTGCAGTGCAACCGAAACAAAATATCAGCGTATCACAATTTTCAATTTAAGAGATTTTTTTTTCGTTCTGTTCGGGGTTGTTAGGTGGTTAGACAGATGCAATGGATGCTCAAATCTAATAAATTGCAACCAACGTTAAATAAAGGGTTCTCATATTTTTCTGCATATCCACTGGAAGAAAATGAATTCGATGCATTTGAAATATCATATGATTGAACATAATTGCAATAAATATTTAAATGCTGAAGCTAGTCTATGACTTCGAAAGATTTTATTGGAACGACGTTTTACAGTTCAATGAATGAATAAACAATTATTTTTACTGCCAAAAGGTGAATTCAGACATGTGTATGTATCAAGAAAATAAAATAAGGAAAGAGGTCAAGCACTGGTCCAGTTTTATCAACAGATCATGCTCCAACTAGTTTTGAGACAACAACTTGTAATGTCGTGATTTATTTAGTAACACATTAAATGTTTACGCCCATTTCCTTTTTGGGAGATATCATGACCCCTATATTTCGGTTTTGGACTTTCTTAGCAAATCAAAACGAGTAGAAAATCAAATGGATGCAATATATATATATATATATATATATATATATATATATATATATATATATATATATATATATATATATATATATATATATATATATATATATATATATATATATATATATATATATATATATATATATATATATACACGTATATATATATATATAAAAATAGAGTAGAAATATAATTTTAGAAAACGAGATAAAATTTGACTTTCTTAGCCAATCAAAATGAGGACAACGTACCAATGCTGCTTATGGCAACATGATGCTACTAGAGTTATGGTACTGTAGGAGTTAGGGACATAATCAACTGATTTATGTTTCGTTTCCTAGTAGAGTTGCGAGACAACAAGAGATTGGTAAGGCCAATCAAGTAAGCCATTAGGTGGTGGGTTTTTTATGGAATTTGATTTCTAATTCTATTTGTAGTGGCCGAGGTCGAGGTGACAAGTTTAAGTTTTTTATGGATTTTTCTTAGCTTATAATTGCATTTAAATGTTGGTCTACGTGGATGGTGTAATATTATGTAGGGGTTGTATTATTATTGAGTGACTTTGCTGGCTATGGCAATAGTCCAGTCCTAGACCCAGTATGTAATCCTTTTAGTTCATAATAAACAAGAAAGTGTCTTCGCCAAAAATACCTTTTGAAACAATTAGATTAAAAGCATTCATACCGTTGTCTCAATAACGACTGCAGCAAAATTCATGATGAGAATGAAGGCTATAATGTAACCAAATTTGGGGCATCGAATGAAGTCTTTCAGCATCACAGATGCAGGTGAGTTGTAGAATGCTGGACAACTTTCAAAAATAGGTTCCTGCATAAGACAAGCACGGTAAGTAGGATGAAGATCAAAGAAAATTTTCCAGTTCACGGAAAACGGACTAACTGAATTCTCTTTCTGAAATCTGAGTCCGATGGCATGGGACAGGTCATAAAACTCATCCAAATTAATCTGCATGTGCAGCAGCCAAAGTGATAAATATGTCAGTGACAGATTGATGAGATTGTATTCTAATTCAGAAGTAAAATTTAAAGGCACGAACATACAAAAGGTACTGCCATGAATGTGATCTCAAAACAGAATGTAAAAGATACAACACTAAGCACCAAGAATAAAGAATGCCGTTGTATTAAGATGTGCTTCAAATAAATAATACCTACAACAAGGTGTATATATAATAGTTGTATGACTACCTCATCTAACAGTTTAAGGTTCTGGAGAGGTGTTACAGAGGTATTAGAGAGGGGTTGAATTGATCTAATTAAATATGGGATTATTTTGACATCTAATTAATTCATTAAACTGAACTAACTTAATTTATAAGATAAATGAAAACTATTTATATGATGGGCTTGAAGCAAATACAGTAGGGTATAGTTTAAGTGAATCAAAACCTCCTACTCGTATATGGAATATTAGGGAAATAATAAGGAAGGAAGGCATAATATTCTACTGGCTACTGGTAGACAAATACGCTTGAGCGGTCCGAATTGGCTAAAACATGATGACCGAAGATATCCTAGCATTCATCTTTATCCACACATAGAAATGGTAAAGTTTATGTTTGGTTCTATTAATCTTTTATAATTATAAGTAGTTTTAATTATATCGTTCCAATTTTAGAAGAGAAATATCCAAAAAAATCGTGTGAAGTTATGTAAAATATGTGTATCTTGATTCAAAGATCATTGTCACGGGATGTTTTTAGCGTGACAATGAACAAGAATTCAGGATATAAATCTGAAAATAGTTTAGCAAATTCATTCCCAGTCAAGTGTCATAAAATGATGAATTAATTTGTGCAGATATCAAGAAAACGAGGTATATAAGAAAATTGCAGACAAAAAAATATCCACTAGAATTGAAAGGAGGGTAATGAAGATACCTTGACATCATGACTATCATCCAACTCATAGAATATCAACTCAAAGTCATCCCGTGATATCTGTGGCAATGACCTTCAAGTTGGAAACAGATGATGTTTCAGCGAATAAAAGTTGAATGGTGCAAACAGAATATTGCAACTCAAAAAAATATATTTGTGGTTACTACATAGCAGATGAGTATAACTAATACAAGTACGAAGTACGGAAAAACAAAAAGAACATAGCTACTAAGTTTCACATCCGTCATTGAGCCTCACATAAATAATACAACACAATAAATTGATCGCCTTATATTCACCAATTCCATTTTTTTTGACAATCCTGCCCACCTGCCAACCACCTCTACCAATGGGCATCTACATGTTACGTGAAAGATCTGTTCTGGCAAAAATATTCAATTAAAAATTAACTGAAACGGCTCATATCTACACCTACATATAATCTTACAGCTCTACCACTGTGAGCACATGTCGAAGCATGAAATCCCCCGAGAGATTTAAGTTTCTAAACCAGCGATCATGCGTTTCTCATTTCTTTAAATTTGGATGATTCAAGAGGTAGGTATAAACATTTAGCATAAGAAATTTCTCAAGGGAAAGTAAATACTACCTGTATTTATTCAGTTCTTCGAACAGGAGAATGCACTGATCTTTGTTAAGGTAACCAAGATCCTGCCAATACAAAATGTACAGAAAAGGATCAGATTATAACTCAAGCCAGCGTGTAAAATAGTTCTAATTATAGATCAAATGTGTAGAATATGTTGGTTGTGAGTCTGTTCTCTGCATGGTACCAGACACAGCGGCTTCTTATTTTGACGCACTTTGATGGCTGAAATCAGTGGTGGAGCCACTTAGGATCTAGGGAGTGCAATTGCACAACCTTGAATTCAAAAAAAGATTATATATATATATATATAGGGGGTGAATCTGAAATTTTATTACAAATTCACAATCTATCTTTCCCAAAATTTTGGATGTCCTCCTAAACATCGGCGTTCTAACTTTTCTCTCTAAAATAAAATCTCCCCGACCTCTCAATCAATGGCGATCAAGTATTAAAAGATATTTGGTGTCGTACATAGAGATATATGCATTATACAATGTTACTATTAATGAAATGATGGATATTTTTCAAGGAATGGAACCAAGTCGAAAAGTATCCTAGACGTTATATTTATATATTAAAAAATATTTTTTTTACAATTTTCTTGTAAAAAATTTCCTATTTTTTATATACTTATGTTTTTGTATTAAGTTACGAACACCACTTAATTAAAATTTTGGATTCGCCACTGGCAAAAATAAAGAGGAACTTACCTCTTTAAATACGGAATAACACTTATACATATCTTCTACCACGACCATCTTAGCAGAGGAACTTTACCTCTTTAAGCACGGAATAGCTCTTTAAGAATGGAAACCAATGTTAATCCGGCTACTAAGGCCTCGTTTGGTTGGTAAGATAAACCATGACTAATTAAACAAGTAGGTCTTTTGATGTTTGGTTAGTCCAAAAACTTTGCGGGTTGAACACCAATTATGGAAAAATGAGCATATCTTGACTTATTGAGGGTTTGTGGTATTGGTTCTCCCCTAGTCCAATTATATTATTGGGTTAATCCGGCCTAATCTTATCTTGGAACCAAACGGGTCCAAAAATTTGTTGGTTCTGATAAATCATAAATACCATGTACCATTTACAATTCACAAAATTGAATGGTAAAAACCATCTAAGATTGGGGTGCAGAGATCAAGCTTATTATATATTTCAAGAAGCAAGAGAAAAGAAGAAACTGGCAGAGGCCGATCAAACATGGAAAACTTGAACCAGAAAGGAAAAGACAGATATTATTTAATATGATGTTAGAAATAACTGAACCATAAAGGATAACCAACAATCACTATATATATGAGAGAAAACTATACTCACATTGTCGAGCAGGTTAAACGCTTTTTTCAGTACCCTCGTTCTTTGATTATCCTTCGCAGCCACTTGTTTAACAAGCTAAAAAAGAACATTAATTAGTTACTTACAAGAACTTAACTGAAAATAAGTTAGACACACCACGTTACCAGGCTATCACTACATCTCAACTAGGATTTGGACCCTGCACTATATTTTCAGTTTCAGTATAATGCAGCACGACAATACTGCATTTGCCCACATATGATTGTTCTGTTTGCTAGATATAAAGTTAAACTGTAAAATTATTCACTTATCATTTATTTATTTTTTTGTACCTTAATAATATTCACATATTTCAAATAAAATTATCTACTACTAAAAAAAATAGGGAATGACTTGGGGACTAAGGAGTGTTTTCAACCACTTAAAAAGTGATTCATATTCCGGCCAAAAAGTAACACATTTGTTTTCGGCCGGAATCTGAATCACTTTTTCAGTATGGAGGTAGTATTTCTGTCTTAAAGCTACTGAATAGAATGGCACGAGAAATACGACTTCCATATTCATATGAATCTTCAATTTTCTTGATTCAAATTGTCTAATCTTATTGCTAATTCTGTAACATAAATGTTTTAGATGAGACTAGTTGGTTATTACTGTTAATGTTATTCAAATGATTATGAAAGAAATTAACTGCTATTACATTCCAATATTCAAAAGAATAGTAAACTACGGAGAAAAATACCTCACTCTTAAAGCTATCGTAGACGACGGCAAGGATCAAATTGGTTACAAAGTAAACACCCAATAGCACATACAGAACAAAGAATAGCGAATACCAACGTGAGGCCCTACACAAAAGATTGACAATTGATGGGTTAGAAAATCTTAGAGAATATTTTTAATGTTACCAACAAAAATACAAAAATCTAGCAGTTAACTTTTAATTACATAATGTTGAACTATGCTTGCATGGCTGACAAAAAATATTAAAACGAAAGGAAATGGCATCCAATTTTTTAACCCTCAAAGCTACTTACTTGTATGCGGGAATCCAGACATCTGGATTGTTGGATGTGGTGAATAAAACAAACATTTGGTACAATGTTACACCGTATGATGTAAATACAGTCCTTCCCTGTTCGGTATCTTCAAAGATGACATATGCCAACCAGCTCGAAAACAGAAGAAATAACAGCCACAAAGCCTGAATTTGGTCCCCCATCACAAGAAACAAGAAGAAAGCATTAAAAATGGTAATCTTTTTTTTTCTTTTTTTTTTTTTTGTTATTACTCAAATTTTATTTTATTTAATAAAAATAAAAAATTGGGTGCATTTCAAGCTATCAGACATACCAGGACATTGAGGTATGTGCCAAGCATTCCAACCAATATGATGATGCTATCTCGTATGTCCCTGAGGTCAGTTCATGAAATGCTGCATCTTATCATGGTAGACTTTGAAAAGGTACAATTGCAGTCATAATATATTCAAATGCATAGTGCATCTCTTTCAGGCTGATTGCAATTATTATGCACTTAAGATACAAACATCTACGTCTCAATCTCATTCAACAGTGATGTGTGAAAGAGAGAAAACAGTATAGCGGATGGCAAATGAGAAGTGAATTGGCAATATTACCTGATGTAAAGAACAAAAAATGCAACTCGGAGATAGGGTGAAAT